TTAGTGATGCTCAAGTTTGTCTAGATCTATAATTGCAAAACTCAATTGCAATCAGTCTAGACGCTGTGAACTCGAAGAGAATCATTTTTTCCCCTTTAAAATTGCCTTTTTATACTGTTATCTAATTCATGGTTCTGGTGCTTGCAGAATGCGTTCCAGATTACTTATTTCTTGTGGATATGGGTAACTGACACTTCTCAACTGTCACACCAATTGCATCTTGTCTTTATTTATTTGCATGTCTTCATATCTAATGCTCAAGGCAGATATTTCTTTTCTCTTATGCAGTATTCCTTCAGCCTAAAATCTTGCTTTCATGCAAATTTCGCGCTTGCTATAACAAAGGTTTCACTGGGGTGAGATATCTACTTATGAAATTATTACCTTCCTAATCTGAATAGGCGGTAAATATCATCCATTTGCAAGTATATTCCGATATCAATAGTTGTTAACTAGAGCCCTATGTCCTTCAGAGAGGTACAGGGATGTCTAGTTGCATTTCTGCCATACGATTATAAAAATTGCACTATCTTGATGTACAATTGATTTGTTGAACTCCTTCATGACCTTTTCAGGTTGGGTACCTTATTTATCTGTAGCTACATCACGCTTCCACTGTATGCGCTTGTAATGCAGGTACTTCATTTGTTTCAGTTGAAACTCATAAGTTATTTGCCATGGTATGTTGCATTTGGTAAAATGACAACATTGATAACTAGCATTCCCGAATAAGAAACTGGCATAACCAACACAGACTAGAGGATTAATTTCCAACCTCAGTTGTCAGATTTCAAACTCACACCATCACTAGTCTGACAAAATATTCACAACAATTACTTATGCACCCACATTCTTCGCTTTTAAAGAAGTAACTTGGCAGGGAGTTATCTTTTGTTTGATGATATGCAATTCTTTAAGGTGGATAAAAGTTGTGTTTTGGACTCGCAGATGGGTTCACAAATGAAGAAATCCATCTTCGATGAACAAACATCAAAGGCCCTTAAAAAGTGGCACATGGCTGTGAAAAAGAAGCACGCAAAGGGAGGAAAGATGTCAACCAGGACTCTTGGTGGAAGTGCAAGTCCTAGCCCAAGCGCCATTCATTCTTCAGGACCTTCATTGCATCGTTTCCAGACTACTGGTCACTCAACTCGCTCCTCTTACATGTATGAAGATCATGATATGTCCGATCTGGAGGCCGAAGTTCCTTTATCACCAACACCGGCAACAGAAAATTACATCATAAGGGTTGATCATCATGAGGATGAACAAGCAATTGAGATCAGTGAAACTCACCGCAATGAAGAAACCAGCAACGAAGACGAATTCTCCTTCACCAAGGCTGCACCTGTTAAAGAATCATGATGAAAAGGCAGTGCTTCAAATGGTGCAGTCAGCAGTGTAAGCTGCATACCTGCATCTTCTTGTAAAAATTCTGTTAGTTTGCTATGAAATGTGGGCATATAGGCGATTTCCGTTTTGTATGTTAACATTCTTGTTTGTAGATTAATAATTGCCAAAGAAATCCAGGTTTTCTTTTCTTTTTTCATCCCCCTTGGAGATCGATTGAAGAGTGAATCTCTCCATGTGATCTTGTGGTTGGCTCTGTTATAAGCTCATTTAAATTCCCTTTTGCTGCATTGTGAAGGTCTCTTGATACTGCTTTTTGTTCTAGAAAAAGGTCTCTATTATCTTACCCATTAATATACAAAATTTAATTATAAAATAGATAATATATATTTACAAAAAAAGCTTGAAATCCTAATAAGTCAAGGATTTTATAAACTAAACTGCCCCATCCCAATAATTTACAGGTGTTAATAGAAATACATCAAAATCATATTATATGTGAGGCATTTCTGATTTACTTGCTAAGATGGTTGTAATGGCGGTGTTGAATTGAATCTGGCCCAACCTATTTTACTCTCATTGGAGAAGCCAGTTTTAATCCCTTTTTTTAAAAAAAAAAAATAATAATAATAAATAAGACCAAAATAATGACGTAGGCAGATCATAGAGTCAACAGCATTTGACCGTTGACCAGAAATATCTGCAGACACAGATTGACTTTTAAAACTTATTTTCTATTTTCTTTTTGGCATATCTGTTTTTTTTTTTTTTTTGAGGATACTCTCTGCCATGTGTCATAAAAGAGCTTCTCCAACTGATTTTTTGTTCTTTTTTTCTGAGAAGATTTTCAATTAAATCTCAGAAAATCTTATTAGATAAAAGAAAAAAATAAAAAGAAAAAAAATCTCCATGTTTTACTCTAGTAAAAAAAAATTACTGTGTGCTCCACAAAAAAATGCAAATTAAAATATTTTATATATATTATTTTTAAAGTTTATTGAAATTATAAATAAAAAATTAATTTACACTATATATATCTATAAAAGTATCATATTATTTATAATTTATTTAAATAACGAAAATCTAACCGAAAATTCAAGAATGAACTAGAAATTCAAGTAAACATAAAAAGTATATTAATTAGCGCATCGATCGATCAATTAATTACTTAATATTTATAGAGATATGATATCTTCTATATATATCGAACGCGTGTTAAATATTATTTATTTATTTATTTCACTTATATGCATGAATATATTCTATTTTCCCGCGTTAATTTATCTGTCAAATTTATTTTTGAAAAGATATATTTTTTTCCGCGCAAATTTATAATAATTTAAATTTTATATATATATTTTTTATTTTTTTATCATGCATATATTTAATTGAAAATGTGTGTAGTAATTCATTAATATTTTTTAAAGCATAATTTCTAAATAATATAGCATTTATCATGTGAATTTTTATTTACAATAAAACATCCACAATATTTTCTTCTAAATAAAACTAATAATATTGATAATTAAATAAAAATAAAAAAAGAAAAACCAGAAAATCTACTTGTAAAAAACCAATTAGTAGGGTCTCCAGCGACAGAATACCACGAATGAAGCGCAAATGGTAATAGAGAAAATGGTATTTGGACACCCTAAATTCTGCAAGTACTTCTGTATATATATGCTTCAACAGTAGTGTTGTATATGTGGATTGTATATGCTCAAGAGTGTATTTGCTTCGAATATAACTGACTTGATAAGTTAATATCAATGTCTCTTATCTCTGTAAAATTACATTCCTAGTTAATCAGTTTATATACTGAATATATATACATCTAATCTTTCATTTCTTAATTTGCAGTTCTTTTGCTGTTTGGGTATTTCATAATGGAGCATGGAGGTGATAATCATGGAAAATGGGTTTGGGAGGAGGACAAGAAGTTCGAAAACGCTGTCGCATTGTTTGCTAATGATCCCCCATCTGAAATGTTTGTAAAGATAGCCGGGGAATTTCCCGGAAGAAGCGTCGAAGAAATACAAGACCATTTCTTTGTCCTGATTCAAGACGTAGAAAATATCGACTCCGGAGATGTCCCACTGCCACCCTACGCCGACGACAACGTCGAGGGGGAGGGAAACCCTGGCGACAGAGGAAAAGCTCCCATCAGGGACATCTCTTATCAGCCTCAAAAGGCTAACAGAGGTGTCCCGTGGACCCCGGAAGAACATAAGTATATCTGATCATTACTCTTTAATAAGACTTGTAATTAGATGGTACGGTTATGATTGATCTGAATTTTTTTTTCTTTTTTTTGTTTGCAGCCGGTTTCTGGAAGGGTTGGAGAAGTACGGGAGGGGAGACTGGCGAAGCATTTCGAGGCATTGCGTGCTGTCAAAAACGCCAACTCAAGTTGCTAGCCATGCCCAAAAGTATTTTAGTAAGCTTCAACGAGCTGAAGCTGCTAAGAATAATCCGAAGCCGCCAAAGTCTAAGAAAGCCGGCGCCTCTAAACGAACTGGAGCGGCTCCAGCTGAACCTATTCCCATTTCTCCTGATTCGGCTCAGCCTCAGCCGATTGCTGCCTCTAATCCTATGGCTCTGGTCCCTTCAGTACCTTTTATGGGTACTCTCGTTGAGCATCAACGTTATAATCAGCTGCTATCTGCTGCTTCTGTGGGTGGTATGCCTTACGGGCCTTTCTCTGATCATCATCATGCTTCCATGGTTGCTGGCTCTATGCCTCACGAGGTTTTCTCTCATAATCAGTTTCCGACTGATTATCATCATCATCATGCTTCCATGGGTGATCCTGATTATGGTCTGTCTGAGTTGGCTCTGGCTGTTTCTTCCATGATTACTCCAACTGTACCGCCACCTTTTGATCCAATCTCTCAGCTGACTGTTCCTCCTCCTCCTCCACCTCCTCCTCCTTCATCCCAAGATTATGGTGATAATCCCATGGTTGATCCTTCTTATGGAGCTGGTTTCTCTCATCAATTTCCTCCTCCATAAATATATATATATATATATATATATCTAAGCAATAGTGATGTTGTTGTTGTTGTTGGTGGTGGTGGTGGTGGTGGGTGGTGATATTTTTTGATATTTAGTCCTTTTATCTTTTATGTCATGAGCTAGTAATTATTTTCTTTTTTGATAAGTGTTGCAATAAATTTTCAGAAACTCAATAATGGACATGTTTGATGGATTGGATATACTGAGATGGTAAATTGAGTATTGATTACATCCGACCTCATATATATATATATATGTGATTAATCCAATGCTTTATATATATAAATTTATATGCATGTTAGTTTGAATTGCATGCCATTTATTTTACCAGTTCTGCTAGAGATACAAAGAATTTGAAGAAAATTCATATACAAACTGATTGGAGTTCAGGAAAGGAATGCTAAAACTTAACCAGTTAGTATCAGTGTATTATACAAAAATTATATGTATGTCTTAATCATATATATGTATTAGTGTGTTAATTACCTCCTCTAAAACTCTAAAGGATATTTATTTTTGTATAGCAATAACTATTAGCAATATATTTATTTATAATTTTTTTTTATCATACAAACAAAATTCCTTTATTTTCTATTTTTTTTTTCTCTGGTGATTTTGCATGTTCGTGCATGAATTTTTTAAGTACTTTTTAATCGACAATAAAGAAGTCTTCTTTAATCTACGTACGTCCGTAATTTTGTATTTTTTTCCATATACGTAAATAATTTTGCATGTTCGTGCATGAGTTTCTTAAATACTTTGTATCGAGAATTAAGAAATTCTCTTCTCTTCTATGTAAGTTCATAATTTTACATTTTTTCTATGTACGTCAATAATTTTGCATGTTCGTGCATAAATTTTTTAAGTACTTTGTCTTTAAAACTAAAAATTAAAAACAAAAATTTTCAAGTACATTTTTTTTATCGATAATTAATATAATTTGTATTTTTTTGTAGTTACGTGTGTTTCTCATTGATTAAAATCAATATTCGAAACAAACTATGTTTTATAAAATTAAGTAAAATATTTGACAATATATTTTTATGATTTATGGTAGAAGATTAATTATTTTTTTTACGAAATATATTTAAATTTAACTTTTTTTTTTTCAAAAGATATATAAATTAATACTTATGTAAAATCAGATTTTAAAATCTGACTTTTTATATGAGAAGATATATAGATAAATACTCATATAAAATCTAATATAGAATTGTACAAATAACTTTTGATATTTTATTGGAATTAAGTTGATGAGATATTTATTACTGAAAAAAATATTTTAAAATTTATTAAAATAATTTATAATAAATATTAGTTATATTAAACTATTTCTTACCTCTTAGAATATAAGTTATATCTCAAAAATCTTTGTTTTTAATTTTTAGTTTTAAATCAAAAGTCATTATTTTTAAAGTGTTTTTTTACTTAGTATTTGAAGAAATATATATTTTTTAATAAAAAAAATTAAAGCAAAATGCGGTTACTCTCAAGCCCAAATGGCCGTCTTTACGCAATTTGGGCTTTCTCCGATACATACACCGTTTAGGCTGACAAGAGCCCTAGCAGGAATTCAGCAGGAGCCGGTACGGAAACACTGCAGAATCCAGACATTATGTTTGTTTCTGAATAGAGGGCTTTGGGTTTTTGTATAAGTTGATCGAACAGTGAAGAATTCATCCAACCCTTCAAGGGTTCGGCCAAAAAGAAGATCCGTTGGTGACGCTGTCTTACGGAGACATGCAGATATTAATCAGGATACTAACACTAAGGCGGTGCTCGGTTCAGAGCAAGCTTATTGAAGAAGAACAAGAAGAAGAAATGAGGGAGATGAACGAGGAAGAAGACAAAGCAAGAGGGAAAGTAGTGAGCTATTACGGGCTTTCCATTCTCAGGGCTGGAGCTATGTTTCTCGCCATCACTACTCTTGAGTATTGAAAGTCAACAGGCAGATTCTCCAGCTTTTCGATTCTTCGTTCAATATCTTGGTTTTGTCTGTACAGTCCAAAAATTTTAGGATTAAATAAATTTACTACCCTGTCGAGAGAAGGATGCCCCCCTTCTGCCTTTTGGAGAGTTGGACTGGTAAAATTGTCTGGCTATGGTGTTCAAGGTGGTTGCAAATTTGGTCTGTATGAATATTTCAAGAGTCCTTATTCCAATGCAACAGTGGTCTTATTTTATCTGTTAGTAGAGTATCTGCAGAAGTTTTTACCAATGTGGCTCTGGCGTGTCCCTTTTTGAAGCCATTAAGGTCCGGGTTCAAGCACAGCCCAATTTTGAAAAGGGTTTGATAGATGGGAGTTCACTTTTCTGAAGGACTTTTGGGGTACGTAATTGAGAAATTATTAATTCTTTTATTGTTTCCAAAATAATGCTATACTGACTCTAGCTAGTGCTTTTTTCTAGAAATTTCTCTTGTTTTTTTTTCCCTGTCTTTCATGATGGTTAGAGGGTTAGCAGCATCTTTTGGTTAGTTCCCAGGGCATGAGATCATCTTCCAAATCGTTTTGCCAGGTATTATTTTGGCTTTTATAAGTATAGACATCAAGCTAGTACCTTCTTGTTCATAAACATTACAGGAAGCTTGTTTACATCAGCTGTTTTTATCTATTGTTATCCCCCAGCCAGAGAACTTCCTCTATGTAAATTTCAACTTACACTGAAGTTGCATAAATTGATATCAGTTGCTTGTTGCCTTACTATTAAGCATAAATATGTCTCTTGTTAGTCTTTCAATTTGCGAGTTCAATTAATCCTCCTCTCAATTCTCCATTTGCAGTTGCTATTGTCCTACTCTTTAGCATTCAGTAGGTTTTCTATACAGTAGAGTGACGCAAAGAAAGAAGATCGCTCAAAAGTTCAACAGCTTGGGGTAACATGTTTGGCTGGCTATGCTGCTTGATCTGTTAGTAGTTTCATCTCTAATCCTGCTGACGATATTATTGTTTCTTTGGACAACAAAAACATTGATAGCCTCATATTGGTATACCCTTTGGTTAAATTTTATTTTTTATACCTTGGTGAAATGAAAGATAAATTGACTTGGCTTGATTCTGTTTTTCAAATGTTCAGGCTGTCAAGAAATTGGCCCTTTTGATTTATTCACAAGAAGCCTTTCTATATGGATATTGCTTGTTGGACCTGTGGTAGCTTTGCAGTGACTATATTATGATGCTACCAAAGTTTCAATTGGATTGTAAGCATCTGTTAGCTTGTTATCTTTTTCTTATTCCTGGGAACCTTATGCTGCTTGTATTATTTTCTACCATTCTTTCAAGTTAATCACCGGCTTTCACTTTAGTTAATTGCCTTTAGGATTCTATCAATTGTGTCAAATTTAAAACAAGCTAATTGGAAGAAGATGGGTAATAAATGATTTTTAAACACCATTATCTCTCTCTCCCTCTCTCTATGTCTCTCTCTCTTTCTCTTGAGCAAAATCATTTTGTGTGGTTTATACTTCTCTGATTTATGGCATTATGGTGTTGCAGCTCTAGGGGTCATGATTGGGACACTCTCCAAAACAGGTAATATGATGATGTCTAGAGTGATTCCCATGCAGTGAAACTTTAGAATTTCAGAGTTCACATGGTATGAGTGCCATTTGTGTACTTAATGGGGGGACAACACAAGTCATAGTATATTATGGGGAGTTGTATGCCTTTTGCCAATTTGCCAATTCAATAGAGGTTTGGGATGGATGGGGGGACATTCAAAATAAGTGAGTGACACCCCAAATATTGGATATAACACTTACTAGATACAATTTGGAGTTATTTCAAAAAAATAATAATAATTTGGAGTCGTGTTTATTTATTATTTTTTGTCTCATTGAGTCTTCAGAACTTTGAGAATGCGAAACTAACTTGTCTCTCTCAGTAGTTTAAAAATTAGAGGAATAAGGGTGAGTAGACAGAGAAAGGGTAGATGAGAAGAAATTGATGATCAAGGTGAAGAAAAAATAAACTGCACAATATAAGTTAGATAGAAGAAAAGAAATTCTTGATTCGTTATGACCATCTCATTGTCTGATAGATAATACTTTTTATGTAGGAATTAATTACAATTTAATAAAGAAAAATATTGAAATAATAAAACAAAAAATCAAAAGTTTCTAATTCCTAATAAACTTAAATTTAGTTAAATAAGCTAAATAAATTAGATCTCTTCCAAATTAGGCTACTGAGATAAGCAGTTCAATAATTTTTATGTTTCTTTATTTCTCTTCTTCTTTTCTTTCTGGGATTTCTTGCAGGCAAACCAGTGGAGAGGTTACTACTGCTATGGATGGAACAGACTAAAAGTCACCAAACTTCAAGCAAAACGAAATGAATGAAAAACTACAATTTCGGTAGTTTATGGAAACAATAACTGGAAGATAAATGCTGAGGAACAAACAAAAGAAGAACGCAATTGCTCTTTTTCTCGGAAAACAAATTTCAGGTTGAAACTAAAGGAGGTGCTGCTCCTGACATGAACTTTTTGATCGGTATTACTATTTTCTTTCATTCAAGATCTTACCTATCACAAGTTGTTTTTGGCAACTCATGAAATGAAGTTTAGTCTGCCACGTGGATTTGTTCATCACTGCATAATTTGTGATTTATCATATTAATGAACATTACAGTACATATGTCTATCGTTTGTTCCCTCCATACCTTTGATTTCACGACTGCTTTATGTGTTTTAGAAAACACATGAATTCAGATGCAGAACAACCCTTCGTACGTATTCCATCTGGATTCAATTTACGAAAGAACAAGAGAACTGTGTAAAGACAATTAGGAATTTTGTGAGTTTGAGAAATAAAAGTAGTGGCAAGTAAATGACATGGCTGCAGCATTAGAATTTTGAAGTCACAACGGATTTCCATCTTATCCATCACCTTTGATTTCTTGAAGCATGCATTTCAAAGCCTGTAAGCTGCTGCAATGCTGGAGACTGTTGTTTGTTGCTGTGTGTATTTTATGAATTATTGATGAGTTGATATTTGGTTTAGTTTGCATGGGGGCGGAAATAATTAATTATTTTACTCCAACATAATATGTTATATGGTATCTCTAGCACTGTCTAATTTATCTGCAGCAGCATATACAGTAGTGGACAGAACAATATGTTGTGTTGTGTGTAGGGAGCAGAAAAGTAAATAGAAGTTAAAAATAGTTTTTGTTTCTTATAATAATGTTCATTTATTTTTTTTCATGTATAAACAATACAATAATAAAATATAGGAATTAGTAATGTAATTAACAGAAACCATGACTCTGTTTAGTTCTTGAAAATAGTTGCTATCTTAAAATGAAAATATTTAGAAAAATAAAAAACTAAAAAAATTTGATATTTTCATAATTTTTGTTTTTAAAAAATCGGGTTTTCCATCTTTGAAGTACCAAATATGCTCTTTAAAACAATCTTCATCTTCGTTTTCTGAAATTAAAATCGGAAAACGTTTTCAAGAATCGAAAGCAGCAAAAATTTTCATAGAAATATTGTATTTGATTTTGAACTTTTGTATTAATATAAGATTGATATGTTTAAATTTTAATGCTTAGGAGAAGTATAAATTCTATGCTAATATCTTAGCTCTGCACCAAGGATTGGATCCCTTTCTCAATTCTCAATCATTATTTCTCTAAAACTGGATCCAGGTTTTGAATTATATTTTGAAGTTATTGTTTTGTGCCATGATTTTATTTTATGTTAGAAAAAAATTATGATTTAAAATTTAGATATTTGATCTTAATTGAATCAAGTATTATAAGTCGTTTACTGTTAGTTCGTAATATAATCATAAAATAACAAATTATATGTGCTGAATGAAGATCGAAAGCAGAACTTCCAAGTAGAACAAATGTCCAGATTAGATTCAACAACACATGTGTTGTTATGATATATAATAGAGTTGGGTGGATTCTCAAATTAATTCAGTTTTGTCATCATCACAATCTACTCCAGTTTTCACCTCAGGAACCTCACATTTGGACAGACCCCACATATATATACTTATACACAAACACATTTATGTGTACGTATACCCACCAGCTTTTTGTTCTTTCTTCATCTCGTATATGAATATCCTACTGTAAAAAGAAAAACTTTCTATGAATATGATGAGAGAAAAACCGCAAACCAGCATCCTTTATCCCCCTACATGGAAGTGTAAGAACAGATGAGTTGGAAAATCTCAGAATCTCTAATTCATCAATACTTGTTGAACGATCAGATGTTTTCTTATATAATCAATAGCTGATTTTTAGGAGCATCCAATGATGTATGCATGTATATTATGCTTATTCCATAAGATTATTGAATTACATAAAATATTATAAAAAAAATTAATACAGTTGATATAACTGCCAAAAAGAGCTTTGGTTATATAATGCCTCTTAAAGGAATAAGCCTCCAATAATTTCAGCCTTTAGATTAGAATACAAAAAATTCCAACTATTGAAAAAATAAAAAACAAATATCAAAATAAACTAATAAATCTTTACTTCTCCATCTCATCATTCTTCGAGGCATTACAGAATTTTCAATGCAGTATGACACTGGGTCAGCTCCTTCAGTTTCAATTCATTAAATGGCATATACCTCACCTGTCTACTTATTATATTATACATATCTGTATATAGATAGATCCAGTGCTATTATACAGCCAAGCAAGACAAGAATATTTGCATAATCTAATGAACATATATTAATAACAACCGTATTTAACTGAAAAAAAGAAACTCACATCAGGACAAATGATGCATAGGAAAAGTTATTGGCAATTGGATCCAGCTAATGCACAAAATTTAATTAGTTCCCTTCGATACAACTTCTCAAAGGAAGAAAGCCAGCTTATCAATGTAATATGCCAAATAGTTTTCAGCAGCTGATCAATGCAATTGCCTCACATGGCGGATTTTCTTATAGGACAATCTTATTTACTTTAACGTGCATGTGTGTGCATATATAGATTTATATATATAATAGTATAAGCAGAAGCATGTCTAGATCATGGCTGATGGTTTTTTTTTTTTTGTAATAAATCTTAATCCATATTAGTCAGTAATGAGGAGAATAGTTTTTAGAAATGCATATAGAAGTAGATATAAAAATAATTTTTTCATATACAACCAATAATAATTCAAGAAGAAACATGGGGGATGGTAATCAAGGTTTTGACAACCCTAAATCTTCTGAAACCAGCAAGCACCAGCATGTGCTGGGGACTGATTGTGTTTTACCACTGTCTCCCTGTCCAACCCATCTCCAGACCTGCCCCACTCTCTGCACATCACCATCCCTATCAACTCATTAACAACTATTGTAGGATTCATAAACAGACAAAACAGCCCGATAGAGATACACAAGGATTTAAAACCAATTTGGAGATTTCCATAACAATAAATCTACTTGGAATAGAAGTGGGTATGGA